AATTTTCTGTTCATCGATATTGCACATGGTATTAATTTTAAAAATTATTATTACGGAGAGCAATTTAAAATTAAAAGCTATATAGACAGGGTGGTTTTCATCAGCAGCATATTCTGCAGATAAAAATAAGTAAAATAGTTCGTCTAAATGTATGTCCTAAAATGCTTAGTTTCGGAGATACAGGGTGTAGAAGTTTCATTTTTATTTGGATTTTTTCCAAATAATTTCTGCAGCGTCAATATTTGGATGAAAATTTGTGTCTGGGAGTGTTTTGACATGAGAAATTTGATTTTGATATAAATGTGACCCCCAGTAGTAGAGGGCGCCACCTACATATTTTTAACTAGTTTGAACAGTAATAACTTTTCGTCTGTACCTATATAAAACTACTGAGTAAAAAAATATACATTTCCGACGTTTTTACGTAAAAAATATATCTTGGTAAAAATCGCTACGAGTATTGCTTTTCGAGATATTTCGAATCGAAATTATCAATACCTGTCATCATTAACATAAATTAAACATGATGACTAAATAGTTATTAGACTAAGATCATAAGTTTGATAGTTTTTGTGCCAAAAGTTGAACAGAAACTGTTTTATCATCATTTTTTTGCAGAAAAAAATATGATTAATTTAAAAAAATATATAAAAAAATATAAAATCTCCCAAATTTATTATTAATCTCACAGTAGATTAATAATAAATTTGGGTATTTATTTTTCATCAATAATGACATGGTATTGACTAATTCCATTCTAAATATCTTGAGAACGGTTGCTCGTAGCGATTTTTACAAAGAGGCATTTTTTACGTAAAAAATCACAGAGATGTATATTTTTTCCCTCGGTAGTTTTATACAGGCACGGACAAAAAGTTATTACGCTTCAAATCAGTTAAAAGACATATAGGTGGCGCACTCTACTGGTAGGAGTCATATAGACATCAAAATCAAATTTCTCATGTCAAAAAACTACTAGGCACCAATTTTCATCCAAATATTGACATTACTTCAGAAATTGCTTGGAAAAAATCAAAATAAAAATGAAATTTATACACCCTGTATCTCTGAAACTAAGCATTTTAGGACATAGATTTATACGAACTTTTTTACTGCTGCCGAAGTTTCCGGAATACAGTTCGGACCACCCTGTATAAACGGGACTAATATGTAACTTTTTTTGGGGACACCCTGTAGAACTCTCTATATTTTTAAGTGTTCTGAATTAACCTACATATGCTCACAAAATTTCATTCCAATACAAACTGTCGTTCTCCTTGGAGCCTCCGCGGCGTTTGAGAGGCGCCACCCTGTATGTTAAGTGCTTATCGTTCATTTTAATGGGAAAAACTTGTATCTCAATACTATTTAAATAAATCAGGCGCTGACTTAACGTGCTTAAATCTTAGATTAACATTGCTTAAACGTTCCTTAAATAATTTAAATGAGATTCTAAAAAAATATATTCCAAGTAATAATTTTTTGACTGATTTATGTAGTCTCAAATATTATCTGGATCATATGGCGCTTAATCACGATCTAAAGGGGCGTCCAGACCGGATGAGCAAGCAAGAGCAAGCAAAAATTCGGGTATGTTCTATGGGAACGCTTAAAGGTTGTCGCCCACTAGACCGCTGCGCGGCGCGGCGCTGGGAAGAGAATTTTTTCCGGCTGCGAAGGGACTGCGCCCACTATAGCGCGCTTTTGAAACGCGGCAACGCTATTTAGTTATAGTCGAAGTGTTTTTTACTTACTGTAGTTTAGTTTTTAAAGCAATGAGTTCAAGTACGGACGAACGCGTATTTTTTGTGCTCTTCTAACAGAGGAAGAGGAAGAGGGGGTGAGGAAAAGTTTGGACTCATACGATTAACAAAAAAAGAAAGAAGTTTGGAGAATTTTACCATCTTTTTCCAGATTTAATAAAAGACAAAATCATTTTTTTCAGTATTACAAAATATAAAGGAAACATTTTACGCACTCCTCAATTGAGGGTTTTAGAAGAAAAAACACCGGGTATATCTACTCATCATATTTTTTCAGAAGAGACAAATTACTAATATTTTTGATAATTCTTATTTATTCTGATGTGTATATTAGTTATGTGGTCAAAAAAACCCTGATCTTTTTTATATATTTAGGTAATTAGAATTTAAAAATTGGAGATTGTCACTTTTGTTAAAAAGTGGAGATTGCCAGTTTTGCCTCTACACCCCTCAATTATATTAAATCTTTGATAGAAAGGCATTTCGTCCATCTGTCTCTAGTGAGGGAAGACTAAAAAAAATATCATATTCCTTTATGAAAATCGATTTGCCTAATTTACCTTTAAAAATACAATTCTGCCATTGATACATATCACTAGTTCCTAGTCAAAAAGCCAACTGAAAAGGCTCGAATGCAAAATTATTTCCCTTGTGAGTACGCACACTGCAACGCGCCGAAACGCGGGAGACGGAAAAAAGTTGCTAGAGAAGTCTTCCGACTTCTTGACGGAAATTCCGCGGCGCTCTTCTGCGCTGCGCGCTCTAATGTGCGTTGGTCCATTTAAATACATGGCAAGCAGACAAAAGAAATTTCCACATGGCGCCGCGCCGCGTCGCGCTGCCGTCTAGTGGGCGACAACCTTAACTGGTGTGGACGGCTCTGCGAGAGAGCGAATGGTTGCTTGCTCGCGCTCGACGCTGTTCCCCGCCGTGTCGGTACATCAAAGAAAATTCGCGCTATTGCACGTTCGGTTTGGACGGGATTTTGTTTACCACGTTTGCGATCGAATATCAAAAATGGAATGGCCGAATGAAGTTTCTCTAGGTGAAATTGCTTTTCGGTAATTGGTATCACTTTTCATTATTTATATGTCAATTAAATCTAATAAGGTATTAAAATCTGTGAAAGTGACATCCGACAAAAGTTCTTAAATTTTCCGGAATCTTCTGTTTCAACACCGTTTGGTAAATTGTTACCACCATGAGAAACTCGATTTTTAAAAAGAGTTATGTTCCGCCATCTCCTTTGCAGTCGTTTTCTCTTTTGACGTTTCAACAATTTATAAAATACAATGAAAGACGCACAAGCAATAATTTGTGTGCCACACACCGATCAACGCCGAACATACAAATAATCGCTAGGTCTGGACGGAAGCTGATCATGTGCTCGAGAGCAGCAGAAATCACGAGCGAATTTGAATAAATGTTTGCTCGCGCTCGTTACTGCTCGCTCATCTGGTCTGGACGCCTCTTTAGATATTTCTCAAATAGTTTCATAATGAAAATTAATTTTTTTAAAAGGTCGATTAAATTTATATCTCCGAAACTAAAGTTTCAAAAAAAGTCATACTATATCTACAAATACAAATTCATTTACCCAGTAGTAGGTATAAAAAAGATTTTTGGTAAACTCTGTCTCAAATAGTTTCTTAATAAAAATTATTTTTTTTAAAAGGTCCGATTAAATTTCCGATTAAAACTAAAAAAAGCTAAAGTTTCAAAAAAGTCATACTATATCTACAACATTCTTCAATTATGTCAAAAAGTCTGTTTTATGAAAGAAGATAAGATATCGACAGAGGATATTCAAAAATTGAGGGAAAAATAATTCACCTTTGATTTAACATAACAGAGAGCAATTGTCAGTCTCAGAATTCTACCGTTGTTGCTGTTTTATTTGAAAAGAAGTTAGCCATCACGAGTAACAAAGTAACAAACAAATACAACAAAGTCTAATAATATAGTTTGAAAAGATTGAAAATTGAATTAAAATTAAAAAAGTTAAGCGCGACCCCTTGTGTCAAAATTAGATAACTAAACTTTCGCAATTTTTACACCATTTGATGACCAGTGGCGCCTCTAGTGTTTGGTCGGACGGTTAGTCTTTTACTCTCGTTTATGGTCATTAAAGAAAAAGTTCTAAAGGGAGATGTTTTGTTGTCTCTTGTAAAAAAACACGTACGAAAAACTATGTGGCGTTTTTTACAAGAGACAAAAAATGTAGTAAATACCAAAGGGACCATTTGGGAAGATGGGGAAACACCAGTACACCTCATCACTGAGTGCGCCGAGACGACAACCATTCGTGCCATGAATTTTGGTACGACTGATATTGGAGATGGAGAACTACCCTCTATAAAACCGTCCCAGATACTGGCTTTTGTCAAAGCCCTGGGACTGTATGATGAGTTATGATTCAAGAAAGGGGGACACAATGGATCTGTAAGGTCGAAGTGATTAACCCCCCTCCCACTCATTCTAAATTCTAAAATTCTAAAAGGGACCATTTTACGAAAAAGTTCGTGCAAGATTATTTCACTTTCATTATTAATTGAGGGTAAATCGGGGTAAATACATTAAATTTGCTACTATTACAAACTAAACCAAACCAAACAAACAACAGCTAACGAAAAATACATTAGATCCCCATGCAACATTCGCAAATGCATGTAAATATTGCTCAGTGCAAAGCAAATAACAATAATTAATGTAAATAATAATTTTAAATACCTACGGCGCTAATTGATAAAATTAAATCTTATACAAATTGACTTGGTGATTAATAATTTTACACTTTGATAGATGTGAAAAAATAGAAAACAAGGTTGTGAAATATAACTTTAAATGCCATGAAATTCTTCTTCTAATGTATGTATGTATACACCAGTATTAGAAGAATAAGAATTTCATGGCCTTTTATATTTCATTAGTTATTTTTATTCATTTCTTAATTACCTGTAACCGAATTTAATGGATTATTATATAGTTTTTTTTTAATATTATATAGACTTGTGTCCCATATAATAAAATATACACTACAATGGTCTTCTAAACAAGAAGAGATGAAAATGATTAAGAAAAGTTGTTGAAAAAATATTCAGTTCTCTGGTACTCAGCAAATCAAAACAATATGATGAAAAAAAAAACGGCGTCAGCGATAGTTAGGAAAAGAAGATCGCTCTATTTCCAAGCCAATTGGGCGTCGTTTTTTTCGGTTATACGGTACTTGTTACTCACCAGAAAGGAGTAAACTTCCTTGGCGTATCCGATTAACCATTTCTTTTTCTTCTAACCTGAAATAAAAGAGAACGTATTACAAAAAATGTAGGTATGCTGTATACAGGGTGGCGCACCTCATTCGCCTCGGTTAATTACACAAAAACGGAGCGATGTAGAAACAAAATATTTTATGGGTATGTGGGGAAAGACAATGTGCATATTTAAAATTATTTTGAAATGTACCATGTACCGTGTATGTCAGAACCAAGATCCTCGCCGGAGTTATATTTTTTCTTACGGAACACCCGGTATTTTATTTCATTTTTGGATTCTAGGACATTAAATAAGGCATATATTATAAGGGTTTGATATGTTTACAAGCTTTGGTTTTTGAGATGTTTAAAGATATTTAAATATGCATGCGGTAATAAAAAAGTTTGTTTGGTTTGGATCTTAGCACAGAATATCTAGCTCGCGTAGCTAGATATTCCGTGGTCTTAGCCTGTACATTACTTTTCAAAAATAATTCTTGGGCTGACTTTTAAGCCAGAGAAATAAACTTTACTAATCTCGATTTTGAAAATAGCTACTAACTGTCACTGTCACAATCTTGATTGCCATTTTATTGAATAAGCGCTTTTTATTCAAAATCTGAGCCAGATAGGTATAGGAAACCCTAATATAGTTTGAAAGAGCATTTAAATCTGCTTTGACTTATTTTAAAAAATATAGAGAGTTGCATTTGAAATAACAAAGTTTTTATGTAAAATATATACCTAAAATTGACCAGCAATTTTTGATACCCCTGTATACATTTAAGGAAGCAATCAAATTTTTTAGTAAATTTTATTTCTCTGGTTTAAATGTCAGCACAAAAATTAAGTCTGAAAAGTAATGTACAGGGTCTTAACAAACTTTTTTATTATAGCATGCATATTTAAATATCTTTAAATATCTCAAAAACCAAAGCTCTTAAACATATTTAACCCTTATAATAAATGCAAAAAAAAACAAAATGGTATGTTAGTATATGACATAAATTAGGATTGATTGGACGTATTCAATTGTTTTCGGTCACTTCCTGTTTTACTCAAAATGACTACAACTTTTGATGTCGTTATGAACCGCATGTTACAATTTCAAATATCCATATTATGCGAAAGTGTCAATAGGTGACATATGATATGTCATTCTATCTAGAGTGTAATTTTCTATCGAATAAGGTAAAAAAATACTGAGAGTGTGATTTAAAAGTAATTTTCGGTGAAACAGAGGAACTGACCGAAAACAAGTAAATACGTCAATCAATCCTAATTTATGTCATATACTAACATACCAAATCTCGTTTTTTATCTGAAAAAATAAAAAAGTTATAGGGGTGAGCCACTTTTGAGACGCACCCGGTATATCCAAAAACCGAACATAAATGATTTGCCATATGAAAAAAATAGATAATTATCTTGTTTGTCCGTGTATATGTATGTACGTTATTGAGGACGAAATGATAAAACAAGATATAATTGTTAGGCCACTTAGACGAGTAAGTCAACAGTACAGGTAAAAATTAATATTACCTTTATCACGAGATAACTCGGATATTTTTTATGTAATAGAACAGTTGCTAATAATCTACATTGTGAAATAAGTGTTCGTTTAAAAAAAACAATGGAGTTTGTTCATATTTATATCAATGTCATAATCAATTAATATAAAAAGAGTTGGGAAGATACACAACCATGGCCAAATTCAGCCATGACAAGGCTGAGTTGATTTCCCCTTACGTCTCAAGTGCAGTACGGTCGAGCCTCTATTCGTTCTGCAGTCAACGCATAAAAAACTCATTTTCTCTAATCCGGCTAGCCAAGGCACATCGAAGGAGGTACAAAACTGAAAGCGACAATGTTGCCATATTAAAAAGTGTAATATCAGTAATACATTTCACGAAAATATCTTTGGATTAAAAATCCGCGTTTATGTTGGCAATTCCAATCCAGTCAATATACAGAGTGGTGCCTCTCATACGCCGCGGAAGCTCCAAGGAGAACGGTAATTTATATCCAAATGAAATTTTGGCAGAATATGTTGGTTAATTGAAAGCATTTTATAAAAATATATAGAATTATACAGGGTGTCCCCAAAAAAATTTACACATCAAATTTGTGTTTTTTCTAATGGACCCTATATATTCATTGATTTTCGGATTCTAGGAAAAAATAAAGGTGAGAATTAAAGAAATGAAATGATGAAAATGAAGAGTAAATTTTAAATTTCGATAACAGCTACCTAAATTTTAGTTGATCTTGTATAGCCTGATATTTAATTACACTAACCATTGTAAAACCAAATTGAAATTTGACCCAAAAAGTTATACAGGGTGAGACAAAATTAATATGGAACATTAGTTACTTTTAAAAGTAAGTTACTCCTTTATTTTAAATGGAACACCCAATATATTTTTCCGGTGTTCAATGGGGAATTTATATATCTTCAAAATATTATTAAGGTTGCCTACCCCTCAGACAAAGATTTTCCAAGATATTTTAATTTATATGATTTTGCGTCAGTAGATCTTTATTATTTGAAAAAATCTAGGGTGGCTGTGTGATATACCTTTTGTCAATTTAACAAAAATTAAAGATTTAGAGTAAAATACTCAACGGTAATAAAAAGATACACGTTTAAAACATGTTTTAATGATTATAGAATTAAAGCTAGATATAACTTTATAATTCTGTGACAAAAATTAGCTAGATGAAACCAAATGCTCAAAATGCTTCCTGTCCTGTTAACTGCATAAAATGATTGTCTTTTCAAAAGGATCTTAAGGATTTTAAAAGGCATATGTGGAGTTCTACCTCGAAAAGCAGCTACAATCATTTCTTTCATTTTGTCGACAATAGTTGGTCGAGTTTTGTAAACACTGTCTTTAACATATCCCCATAAAAAATCCAGACTAGATAAAATCAGGAGCGTTTAAGTGTTTATTAATTGGTGAAAGCACACTGCATTCACCAACTAATAGAATCATATCAATTCTTTCTGATGTAGGATAAGTTTGCATTTTCGGCAAATTTCTGAAAATTTTTTTTGTTGTTTTTTTGTTTTGACACAAAATGGTAACTAGTTGTTAAAGTTGGACTAATTAGACAGCTATGTTGAAGTAACGTCAGACATATCACAGCCACCTAGATTTTATCCTATATTTATTTATAATAAAGATCTACTCACATCAAATCATGTAAATGAAAATATCTAGGAGAATCTTTGTTTGAGAGGTAGGCAACCTTAATAGTATTTTGAAGAGACATGAATTCTCCCTTGAATATCGGAAAAATATACTGGGTGTTAGGTTAGGTTAGGTTAGGTTTGGTAATTATTTTTATTATATTAATTATTAAGCGTGTCGAATGCTGGTAAAGGATCTCGAGGGGTCTGCCTAATGTCGAGTTGGGTAGGCCACACAAATCTCGAGAATGTCCACTGAATCTAAAAGCTCTGCCAGTAAGTCCTATTTCCTACGTCCCCGAAGGTTCATGAGAACCGCGTGACCACTGGAAATGTATGGCAGTCAATGGATGCCTGTTATACAGCTAACAGGAATAGGGCGATGGCGAATCTCCGGCGCCACAAAACCGGAACCCCTCGGCTAAGGCTGGGTATCCCGACAGAAAGACCTCTGGTCCTCCAGGTTGGGGGTTGGAGCGACGGGCTAGCACCCTGTCATCCGGAAAATAATTACCTTGCTAAAAATTTCGACCAAAAGCCTCGGAACCAGGACGGATCAAATCGAAGACGACAAACGCTACGGAAAAGAACGCTACGGAAAAGGACTTTGAAACTAGCCACGTGGAATGTGCAAGGTATAAGGACCAAACAACAAGAAGTGTTTGGTCCTTATACAAGAAAGGCAAAGGAACGGAGACTGTGGAAGAGTACATCCACATATTTAGTGGTGTAAACAAGGAAACTAGGGCAAAAAGGGGCGTTTCGGTAGCTATACACAAAAGACTAAAACACAACATAAAAAGCTGGGACGAAATAGACGAACAAATTATAAAAGTCGAAATACACAAAAACCACCGACAAATGATAATAATAGGAGTATGTGCCCCTAGCGACGATGCGAATCCTTTAACAAAAAATATGTTTTTCAATAAACTAACGCACATAATATCCGACATTAAACACGATAAAGAACTATTCTTACTGGGAGACTTCGACTCAAGAAAGGGAACAGAAACCAATAGCCCAGTGGTGGGGCAGTACGGAGAGAGGTCAACCAACGACAATGGTCTCAGGCTAAGAGGCATGTGCGAAAGCCTAAATTTAAAAATTATGAACGGCTTCTTCCCTCATAAAGACATTCATAAGTTTACGTGGACTCAACCAACTCGCCAGCTACGCTCCATAATTGACTATCTGATACAGCGACAAAACTCAAAACTAAAAACCATTGACGTAAGGGCTTACCGTGGAGCAGAATGTGGATCGGACCATCATTTGGTGGTATCAAAAACAGTAATAGAGTACAGAAAAATGTACACTGTAGTAGATAGAACTAAACACGGCAGATACACGTACAAGTAGAAACAAAAAAATACAATTTAGAAAGTTTTATGCAAGAGTCGACACGATTTCTGTACAAACTAAGACTAGCCAATAAACTAGCATATATAAGAAGGGACAACGTAAACGCTGAAACGTTGTATGAACAAACAAAACAATGCATTCACGAAGCAGCTGAAGAAGCGTTAGGGCAACAAGATAAGCAAACGACGGAAAAACCAGAATGGTGGTCTGAAAACTTAAAAAAACTTATAGAAGAAAAAAAGCGATCCTACCAGAAATGGCTTAGTACCCACAGCGACCACGACAGAGAAGAATATGCAAGATTAAATAGAATGGTTAAACGCGAAGTAGCTAAAAGCAAAAACAAAATGTGGGAAACCAAATGTGAGAGAGTGGAAAGATATATGGGAGGTACAAGAGTGTCAGAAGCGTGGAAGACAATAAGGAACCTTAGAAGAGACGAAAAGCAAAACAGTAAACTAGAACTTATAAGCATGGAAAAGTG